CAGCTTTCAACGCACCGCAATGCTCACGCAGCACAGGGTTGACATAACGCCCTTCTTCACATTGGACACTTTAATCGCCCGAGCTTTTATGCCACATTTACACACCATACAGCTCTACACACCGGAGCGTTAGCACTAGGCAGCCCTTACGCACAGCGGCGCTGACAAACTTCAAGTGACCGTAACCTGTGGACGAAGCAAGAGTACAGTTTGGGGATCCGGTCCATTTTCCCTTTACCTGTTGGGTATTTTCACCGGTGGAAGCCCCTCAAAACTTGCGGGTATTCGATAAAGCGGGTACCGGTTGAAGCCACGCTGTAGCAAGGGACATCACTCATTTCCACATCCTCTGGTGGACCCGTCCTACTACCATCCCAGCTACCCAGGGGCGGTGTGTGGTCTACAGAACATCTGGTACATCTCTACCGTTCATGTTTCCCTTTCTCAAGTTGGGCACTGGTTTTTGCGGTAGACCACAGTAACCATCAGTAACCTGCAGAAACATGATGCACAGACATAACTTTGCCCTGAAGATGTTTGATTACGCCACATTTGCTACAGTTGTCTTTCCAGTAAACGTTTGATTTGGGTTCGCGGTCACGATAGGAAACGTGGCAAGGGGTGCTGCTGAACACTTGCACCATCTGCAAAGTAACAGTAGGAATGTATCAATGTGCCGGTCCGTAACTGCGTTTGTTGATGCCCTGGCCAAGTAGGCTGGATCATTAGAGGAAGGGGTGATCCCACTCCATTCTCAAAATATTTTGCCTTGAGGTCTGCTGCAGATAAATTTGAGCGCATTCTCCTTCTGTTGACTACGGTTGACGAATCTTGATTCTTCGAGCTGCGCGCACAATCCACGCTCTCAGAGAGGTGCCATGTGTGGGCCCCCTCCTAGAGATTGCCAAGAGATGATATTTGCAAAAGAGATGGGACCTCGGCATTATGATGGAAGTTATGTTGCAAATGGTCAGAACCTAGACACATCCAAGGCCCTACAAAGCCTAGCTCTCTGAGAAGCCAACAATCACACGTCAGAAGTTGACGTGTTCCAGAAATCCAGAAATTGTTACTTTCCAAAGTTCTGCCAATCTGTTCACAAAAATATAAACAATTGCCACAAAACTAAGATAACTAATAAATTGTTCATTGTCAATTTCCGAATTTCCGCCAAGAGTAATTTCCGACCTTACCTCTTTTGGAGGTTGTAGCTCTTGGATTTATATACCCCGATCCTAACACAGCAATAGTTGTATGAAGGTGAACCAAGAAGATGGTGCTTTGCTTGTCGATCACATTGACGAGTCGGGCGCCCCGTTTCAGCGGCGTTTATGTCCAGGCCGTTCCAGAAGGACAGAGAGAGTGCAAGTGAGAATGTGGTTGTTCCTTTCGGACGGAGCTTCAACGCGACTTCTAAGTAAGTAGCGATGCCCTTTGCTCCCAGTAGCTTCTTGTTCCTAGTAACGATGCCAGGAGCCCCTAATAGCGT